GGCAGTATTATGAGCAGAATAACATTACCGACAAAGACAAGGGAGACCGGAATGATCATTGGTTGGGGTGTTGGGCTTCTAATCAGTTGGTCCCGAGTCCGATCCCCAGGGTCTGCAAGAACCTGGAGTTGGGTGTGGCTGACTGATAGCAGCTAATAGGTCAGAAATTGCCATTCTAGTTCCCCTTGTATTTGTCGGTTAGTGTTATTACACCAGGTTTTCACACGAAGGAGGTAACCCGCTTAGACTTCATACACGTTAGTGTCGCAGAAGCCACATGAAGAAGGAACCGAAGATCACACTTCCCATCTAGGTGGGAGGTGCCTGTTCCTTGTCTATGATGGGCGATGCGAGACGGATTCGTGTGTGGCGTGTGCTGGCGTCGTATGTTTTGCGATAGAATTTGGTCTGCAGTGGTTTACCGCAGTTTACCTTGAGACGCATGTCACCGAGTAGGCGAATGCGAAGACCGAATGTGCGTGGACTGTGCGAATAATTGAGGCGAGGCGTATGTGTGATGGCAGTATGGGCAAGATAGACTGCGAGCTGCTGAGTAGGTTGCAGTGGTGATACTGTTAGTGCTGACCGCGCTGGTGAAGAAGGGGTTGGTAGAGCTGGATGCTGGAGGGTTGGCGGACGAGTCTGGCGTGTCGTCATTGTGGTGAATTCTGCTGCCATGAACACATATATAGCCGAACGAGCCTCTATGGTGAGTGAGCGTGTGTAGACAGTGCGGATAGTGGAGGCGGGTTCAGTGACTGCATGTCCGAGACTCTGGCACTGGTATGTCGGTCTCGGTGCGATTGACTCGCAAATGACCGACCTGACCGATGCGCGACATGGGGGTGCGATCTCGATGAGGATAGGGTTGGAATCGAATTCATATTGCTGATGGTTGGTGCGGCGGTAGTGAGGGTTGGGGATGAAGGTGCGTCGGGAGTGTTCTCAACAGTTCTGGGATTATGAGCGATGGTAGTCGTCGTCAGCGTCGTCGGGGGGTTATGGCAAGAATGATGCAGGTGATTGCGGTCGACGACGGCGGCGACGGTCATCACCGTGAACGTCGTGGGATTCGCTGCGGGGGTGACGATGGCGGCAGTTGCGGAGGCAGCAGGTGGAGTTGTCGGGTTGTTGTTGCATTGGGTCCGGAAATGTCCGACGAGACCGATTCTCGCGCGGAATTTTGGTTAGCAGCCAGGGCCTGTTGGAAGGAGTTTGGTGCTGGCATTGTGATTCGATTGGCTTCGTAGATTGCTGCTCCAGTCTTCACTACCCTCATCAAAGTCGATCAGGCCTTGGTGAGATCCTCCTAGATCTTTTGGGTTGATTTGCATTAGGTTTCAGGGTGTCCTTGTAGTGTTGTTCATGTCCGCCTTGTCGGTGAGCGACATCACCGTAGAAGAGTCGCATTGGTAGAGGCTCATCGCTCATCCTCTTGAGGTGGCCGCTCCAGCACAGTTGTAGTTGCCTCTGCATGGCATGAATGTTGAGGATTCTGATTCCCTCAAGAACTTCTGTGTCCAAACTCCTGCCTGCCCACCTCCGGTTCAGTATTGTCTGGAGGCAGCTGAGGTTGACATCGTTGAGTTTCCTTGCCTGCTTCTCATAGACTGTCCAAGTCTGCGCTCCGCAAAGTAGCGTTGTCCTGATGACAGCTTTATAAATCTTGAGTTTTGTGTTGAGATAGTGACCCCGGTGATTCCAGACAGAGACCTGCAGTCGACGGAGGGCCTGGATGACTTTGGGGATCCGGTGCGCAACTTCCTCATCGAATTTGGTGCTCCGTCATAGTGAACTGCCTAAACAGGCGAATGTATTCACTGTTTTGGGTTGGGTGTTGTGTACAGTGATATGACTGACACTGTAGTCCTTGATGAGCGACAGCTGGTTCGCGACAACCGCTTTATCCCTCCTGATGATCAGCCCGAAGTGTGTACGGCCACCAGCAAAGAGATTCATTCGCCGGTGCATATTCGGTTCTGTCGTGACTTTGGGCGCGCAGTCGCCCTCAAAATAGCAGGTCGTGGATAGTAGCCGTGGAGAGACATGTTAGGGCCTGCATGCATCGGGCATCTATAATCTGACCGTCGGCCCTGTTAGACGATGCCAGTCCCAGGGTACTCATCACGGTAGGTGTCCATCAGCACGGCCGATAACATGAGACTGAGGAGGATGGGAACGACTACGCAGCCCGCTTCACTCCAGTGGTGTTGCGAGTGCTTCTGAGATTCTCCCATAGTCTGTGACGCGTGCCATTGTCCCGACATGAAGTTGACGTGCCATTGCATGAGTCGCTCTGGACATCCAAACTCCTGCGTGATTTTCCAGAGTCCGTCGCGATTCGCCGTGTCGAAGGCCTTCGTCAGGCACGCGAACATAACACTAGAAGTTGGTGTGTATTTTCCGGCATTTCTTCTGAAATTTGCGGGCGGCTCAGATCATGTTTGTGGTTTCACGATGTCGTCGGAAGCCACGCCGTCTTTTCGGGGAAAGTCTATGTCCGAGATGTCCGCTGAGGCCACTGAAAAGGATGCGAACGAATAGCTTCCTGACATTGTTGGGCAGCGAGATTCCTATGTCATTATCGCAGAGTTGCCGGTCCTCTTTCCGCTTGTATGGATAGATGACTGTCGCGTACTTGAAATCCTAGGAGACTTGGCCTCAACACCACATCCGGAATATCATTGGAAGCCTTCCCATCAGCCAGGGGCCGCCCTTCTTGTATAGTTCGGCCGGGATTGCGTCGGACCCCCGTACTTTCTCTCTGGAGAACTGTTGCACAGTTTTGGTTGTTTCTGGGAGGTGGGGCAGACGCTCCATGTATGTGTTGGTTTCCAGCTGGGGAAGACGATTGAGGGCGGCATTGGAGATTGTGGATGGGCGGTTGAGGACGGTCCTGAAGTACTCAGCCCAGCTCTTCTGAATCTGCGACTTCTCCTTGAGAAGTGTTCTTCTCTCGAAGCTGAGCAGCGGTGCGGTTTCTTTGTGGCGGTGGCCGTAGACTTCCTTGACGGAGGCGAAGAAATTATTCATATCGTTGCGTTTCGGGTGTTCTTGGATTTCTTCGACCTCGCGGTCCACCCACGCATTTTGCAGCTCCCCCAGTTTCCCTACATGAAAAGACTGAATATATCATCTTGCCAATGGGGTTTTTAAAAGTACTTTCTAGTCCTTAAGGACAAACACTAAAGTTCTCTTACTTTTCCCGAAAAAGAAGTAAAACCTTAGAAAAATAAATATTCAACGTCAAGTGATTGATAATCTTTTTGACAGACGAACCGGCCTGATTCAATTAGTGAACACCGGAACCCCTGAAATCACTACTCCATAACAGACCTGTGAATCCATTTCTGCCATTCATAACACAGCAGAACGCCTTCGTATCTCTGTTCGACTCCAAGTCCAAAAATACAGCCAACAGGCGACAGCGAGTTTGCAATCGTCACAAATCAATTAACAAGCAATAACGCTTGAACTTGCTAGAAAAGGTTTTGTTGAGATCTTAACTTTGCTACACGGTGCATCCACATGCACACTGTTTCTTAACCGAGTTGGGTGGGGCTTTCGACGTTTAATCGATATTTGCGAAAAAGTCGACGCTCGGTGTGGATTTAGTAAAGGCGAGTAGATTTGCATGGCATATTTCATGCTGACATTTCGAAATTCAACTAGGCAAAAATAACAGAAACCGCCCTCAAAGAGGCAGCTGAATTTAGAAAAAGCGGTCACTTACTGGTGAAAACAGGATGACAAAGGTGTCTTATTCCATAACCAGAATAACCTTATTGTTTTGACGAATTGAGGTCGTTTCCGTTTGCTTTTTAGCGCATGCTGCTTCTCATTCGGATCCCCGCGTGATAATATGAGGTTGAGTGATGACGTCGAGTAAAAGAGGCGAAAACACATAACTACGGTTGGTAAAGCATCACACTGGTCGTCACGTGTTAGAGCCAAATATTCCGGAATGAGAAAGCCCATCATGTCCAGAAAATGTACGCATGCATGTAGGCGAACCACTGCCTCATCAGATAACTAGTGAGATAAACTTGCTGATAATGCGAAAACTATGGCGATATTCTACAAGAAGAGGGGGAATGCGCGCATACCTAGTAGGGGGAAATTTTAAGGACTTACTAATCGAATAGGACTGGGGGAACTGAAATGGAGGTTTCTGGGTTGGTTATTAATGACAGCCAGTCACGTCCCGTCCCAGATTGAAAGAACCGGAACTAGAGCCCTGACTATTTGATCATCAAGTGTCGAGTCAACGCCTATGGCAGCATTTTGTTGTCTGAAATCGGGATACTCAGCGACAGAGTTGTCTGGAACGATATTCTGAATGTTCTTCAAGCACGCTAGAAGCAATAGACAATTTAATAAACGCAATCACTCCTTAGTTCAAGCTTCAAATACGAAGTAAAAGTAGTATCTGAACAGTCTACTAGTGCACCATGTCAGCAGCACCATGCAACAGAATGTTCACTTGATAAAAATGAAACACTTTGGCCTCCGGATAAATTAAACGACCATTTTAATATACAGTTTTCGAGATGATTTAAAGTATCGAATAGTGTTCATTGACTTTCTCCCGTTACGCAACAACAACAAAACGCTGTTAATGAGCCCTCGCAAAATTTATTAACACCAGTAAAGTCTGCTCATTGCAAAACCCACGCCGTCTTTAGATCGAACACTGAAAAGGCCCAAAGGCTCAGGACGATGTAGATGAAAATTACTTGTTTCCGGCGCAGGCTTAACGAGCTTTCAAGGTTAATTTTCGAAAGAATAAGGACAGACGCAAAAATCAGACGGTTAACCATTGTCAGTATGGACTGCGTACACCTATAATTCCACTCAATGACATAAGAAATAGAAACATGAGGAACCTCCTCTAGGAAAACTTCTTACTGCCTGAAATGGAAAAACAGGTCGAATATGTTCAAATACATACTAGCTTTCCATCCCCACCGAAGCATGCTTTGAAGTTTGAACGATTCACCAACTATGCTGTTCGATGTTTCTTCAGTCGAGATATCCCCAATTGGAAAACGACAGTGGATAGCCGGCAGTGTTCTAGCTGACAAAGGAGGCAGAAAGTCAGTCACAGAGTTCGCTGCGCATAACGTTAAAGGCCTAGGATCATTTAGCTCTCCTTGTCTCACGTTGTAGCGAGAAATTTAGGCCCCGATAAGTGTGCTCTGATGAACGAATCCCAAGCCAACTGAGCAGACCATACCTAGCGGAGCAAAATTAACGAAATACAAGGACTAGGATCGGTAGGGACTGTGAAACGGTTATTCGAAGCCTCCTCGTCCGAGTCGCAAACCCCACCCCCATCCTCTCCCTAATTTCCTCCAGGGGTCTACTAGATAGAACAATAGGCAAGCTTCACTCGAAGGGTAATAACTATTTTCGGACAAAAAGGGATAGAACTTCATTCCATAGCTTGACTGAACTGTGGACATAAGAGGCAAATAAGAGGACGAAGAAGAATGGGCGGAGGACGGGTGAGCGAACATCTGAGAAGAACGTACTGAAAACCAGGAAGTAACCACCAATCAGCCTCAAAATCGCCTTTTCAGGCTTCTATAACTTTTAACTAAGTACACACGCTTGATCCTTAAAAGTCGTCTAGTGATTTGAGGCTCACTGATCGCCGGACAGTAGTGAACTTACTAACCTGTGAACCATCCAACAACAGTCGCAAACTACCCTGAAGGTTTTTTAATTCTTTAAATCCCTCAGAGTTTGTGTTTTGAGGTCCACATTAAATGTAGACTTTCCGACAAAATCAATGGAATAGGTGTCATTAGTCCAGCCCTATGTACCCTGCTCTCCCACCCAAACACCAGCAAACGGTGATTTATCGATGAGACCTTTCGATGAATGTGGGAGCTGTGTGGTTGAGTAGCAACTGCGTCCTGTAGACATCGCATCCCTTGTGCGCCTGCTACCCTCGTCTATTGCTGTTTCAGACGACAGATTTGAGCGTGAATCCGAAACGGCACATGAATACAATTCTTGTTCGCGCGCCTCCTTCTTAAGCATATTTTCAGTCGAAGATGACCCACAGCCGTATGTGTCACCAGACAGCGCTCTCTACGTTTCTGTGGGACGTTGTGGGCATTTGAGCTGGTCAAACCAGTTCTGGCGAGCATTTATGCAGGCGCAGCTTGTAAAGAAGCGGACCATGTCCGAAGCGATCCAATCAAAATGGGTGATGCTCTCGTCTTCAAGAAAGTTTTTATTTCAGCTGTAATACCGTCGAATTAAAAAACCAGACTTCGCGAACAGAAGGCAGAGCTGCGGCATCCTAGCAGAGGTTAGGCAGACACAAAGCCCGTGAAACTTCACTTCTCCTCCCAAACGCGGGACACAGCGACGGGAGGAAAGAAGGCATCTAAGGCTTCAGGAACGAAAGACTCTCCTCCCCCTGCTTTGTCTTGGTAGGCCTGTCATAGGCATAGGTCAGGAAGAAGCATGAGCTGGATTCATATGGATCACCGGAGGACTAAACAGTTAACGCTTCTCGAAGACCACCCTTCCAAATGAGACTTGACAGAGTTACGCCTACTTGCTACTTCCCAGAGGATTCCTTTTCAGCTAGGCAGGAAAATGTCTTTGGAACAGCTGAATTCGACAAGTTCTACGTAGAACCTCGCACTCTTAGAAATTCACTTGTGAGGGAGGCTGGGAATTACTTGGGACTGGAAGGGTTGGGAAGAAGGGCACTCGGTAGCTACAACGGGGATTTTATTCTCCTGACGTTTGACATTCCCGTTTGAGCCCATCAACAGAGACAGCATTAAACAACGATCGTGGACGAACTAGAAGTGCAGTATTCATAGGCTAGCTTTATTACACAACTGATTGATTATTAAAAAACAACAGTTTCCTGACATCGTTTGGTGTCAGGTCCCCCTTTTGTTTCCATGAATCTGGTAGTCGGGACCGTCGAACTAATCCTGGAAGGGGAATGTGATGAAAGTGAGGATCGTTCCAGACCCGCCGAATCCTCATTTCCCGAAATTCTGGTTCAAGATCTACTTCGTGTTTGACAGAGCGATCTACGAGCAGATAAGGGTTGGACACAGACATGAGTACCCCCTATTCTATTACAGGTGTCCTAACTTTAATCCCAACTCCAACC